GGGGGGGGCGCTCCGTTGTTTTGGGGGTTCCTCGCCCCCCCCCCCCCCCGCAGCTTTTTTCATTAAATCTGTGTGAATTTTGTGGGAAAATGCATTATCTTTCTGTGTGAAAATGTTCATATGAAGTACCCACAAGTGCCCGCGTGGTTCAACGTATCCTTTTCCCCTCAGAAGCTGTGGGGGGCGCTGGGGCCGTGAGGGGAGATGGCGGCTGTGGGGAGATGGGGGGAGTGGGGAGACGATGGGGGGTGTGGGGAGACGTTGGGGGCCGTGAGGAGGCCTTGAGGGGCCTCCAGAAGGGGACAGGTCCTTAGTGTGGGGACAGGGCAGCGCGGGTGGGGGTCTGGCTCTCTGGGGAAGGCAGGCTCCGCCAGGGATGGGTGACACAGCTCCATCCAGGCCCAAGAGATCCCACCAAACGCCTCACCATAGCGCCTTGGGGTCACCCTCCGAACTCGGGTACCCCAGGGCACGGCGACATCCCTGCAGGGAGACACCCGAGGGGCTCTTCCCGGACTCCACATCCATGACACGAGCCACGTGGCTAAGGATTAACCTTTATTATCAGGCGAGCCAAACTGTGCAGAAGCCCAAGCCGGGACCAAGCCCGCACTGTGCCGAGTGCTGGAAGAGCCCAGGAAAGCCCAGCCATGGCGGAGGTCTCCATCCTCCCACCGCAGCAGGAGATCCCTGCTCCTGTGTGTTCCTGGGCCGAGCCCTGGCAGGTCTCGCACTGCGTTAGGCTGTCTAATGCTCCATGGGGGACATTTGGGGTCGAAGGGGAGGTTGCTGCACCTCACGGCACAATGCCGTGCTGCTGGGCTTGCTCAAGCACACAAGAGGGTCTTTTTCCATTCCTCCTCAGGCTGCCGTTCTCCCTGTTGAGGGCTTTGCGTCAGGGTTGCAAGGGAAAATGCAGAAAGCTTTTGTTCCCCGTTTCTAAAACCAGTTGAAGGCATGTGACAGGGCACAGTAATAGTTGCCATTGTCTTCATGGCAGGCAGATGCGATGATGAGGATGCAGGCATTGCTGGCAAGGTCTTTGGTAGCAGAGAAGCGGTCGGGAATCTTGGCGGGCTTGTGCTTGTCTCGCTCAGAGTTATAATAGAGCAGATACCGCAGGGAGTGCCCCGGGCGCTGCTGGTACCAGGAGATGCCGAACTCACTGATATTGTACTGGGGGCTCAGGGTGCAGGACAGCCGAGCAGTCTGCCCAGGCATCACCAAGATGGAGGATGGCTGGGTCAGCACGGGCTGAGCCCTGGAAGCTGCGCGCACCAAGGATGCAGTTACTGATGGGCTGAGCCATGTCCCCCGTTGCCCCCAGCCCCAAAATGTCCCCCTGCTCCCTTGAGGCAACCTCGTTACCCAACCTCCATCCAGCTTATCACACCACACCGCCTTGGAGCAAAACGCCCTACTCACACTAACAGCCCCCTTGTACAGCCCAGTCCTGCCTGCCACCCCGTAGTGCTCCCCCCCAGACAGCAGCTACCTCAGCCACACCACCCTTACCTGTCCCCACCGTCCCCACCAGGAGCAGGACCATGAAGCCCAGGACCATAGCAGGAAGCAAAGGAAGGGAGGCTGTTTCGGAGAGGGTCTGCAGTGCTACACAAACTCAGGTTGCTGTGCCGCTGGCGCTGGTGAGGTGTATGTAAATGACACAGGGGGCTCAGGGACTCTAGCTCTGTGTGTTGCTCACTTTGCTGCAGCTGGGCTTCAGGGAGGGGGCTCGAAGCAGCGGGGCGAGAGCTGAGCATCGCAACCCACCGCCCACCTTCGCCCTAGGCTAGGCCATTTCCTCCAGGTGCACCGATGCACATACAGCCTGCCCCACTACCCTGTGCCCCAGGTACTGGGGTACAGTGGGGAGGCATCACTGACCATCTCTCCTCTCAGATGGGGGGAGCAGAGAGGTTTCCCTGAGGTCTTACACTCCGATCTTTTGCCTCGGGCCCTTTGCCACCAGGAGCGCAGGAGGCTAGGAGCCTGAGCCACACCACACCAAGGATGCCCTGTGGTAGCAGCAGGCTGGGGGCCAGCTGGCTCTGCTGCCACCAGGGAGAATGAAAGACAGGACATACCAGAGCCCCCCCCTGCAGCTATCTCATCACAGAAGCAATATAAGGAAAGTTGCTGCTCCCTTCTCCATGCAGCTCCATCGCTGTGACAAGAACGACTGCCCCACAGCACAGACTGGGAGCTGCCAACAGTGCTGAGAGTCCTGCCTCTGCCAGGGCCACCTCAGAATCAGCAGCCACAGGCAAACGTGCAGGGTGGCTGCTGAAGTCACCTGCCAGAAGGCATTTCCCAAGGGAGCCAGTGCAGCAAGACACAGCTGCAGCACAGCTGGTGCCCTGTGCGGAAAGACAGCAGACCGTTACAGCAAAAGGCTGCCAGACTCACCAGGCGTAAAGCCCCTCCTCTCTGCAACACCCATCGCAGGGCCCAGAGACACATTACACGCCCAGTCACAATCAAGGGCTGGCCTCCCACCCGGCACGTCTCTGCACCCTCCAGCCCATGGCAGTCCTTCCCAGCAGGGTGGTCAGCAGACGCTTCAGTGTCCCATAACCGGTGGGTACCTCCTGCCCTCCACAACAAGGCTCAGCCCCCCACCCCTGATGCCACCACATCCCCATCCAGGGATGGCCCTTTCCCACCCCTCTGCAGCACCAGCCTTACTCCCAAGGCGTCCCCAAGCCAAAGAAGTTTGCAAGTGGTTCCTGACGTGACTGGCCCACGCGTGCTCTGGGTATGAGGGAAAATGGAGCTCCGAGACAGAGCCCTGCCTTATTAGAACATCCCAGCTTCCTGAAGAGGAAGCACCACCTTCATCCAAGGGTGCAATGCAGCAAGCTGGTCGCTTGCTTCACTGTGCCACGCTGCAGTGCTCTGAACAAGGGCTGGTGCACCCAACGGCTTGTCTATTTTTTCTGCATTCTCTATTAGCTGGTCTAACAAGAGCAATTACCCATGCAACCTTGCCCAATTTACTGTGACACAGCCTCCCTTGGGAGCAGCAAGGGGAAAACGAGTGAAAGGCAGTGACTGGAGCAATCAGAGCAGCTATAACACAGATGACAAGGAGCAGGGTCCGTACCTGCAGTGCCATGAAGTAGCAAGAAACCTGATGGGACCGTACAGCACCTTGCGCAGCTGGACTGCAGGGAATGCTGCAGCACAGGAGGGCAGCAAGGGCTTTTGTACACCTGCCAGGGGGTTGTGGAGCACACAGGTGCCACACAGCAGTCCCTGCACATGCAGTAAAGCCTGGCTGTGTCCCACCTGCGCCCATCCAGGCAAACCTGCTGTACTAGACTTATCAGAGCCAGCCTACAGCAGGCGGCAGCAGCTGCATGAGACCAGCTCCAAAGCCCATTCAAGGCTGGGGCTTTGCCTTGATGTCTTCTGGCCTTGTGAAGCCCTGCCATTTCAGCAGCTTGTGTTTCATGCAGCCAGGCCCCCGAGCCCACGCAGGTAGGAGCACACTGCAGACACAGCTCCAGCTGTTGCCCACCAGCACTCCCCAAATTCTTCAAGGTGGTGGCAAGGTTATGAGACACCCTGCACATGGGTCCTAGGTGAGGAGTGCCACGCATACACCCTGTCACCAAGCCCCGAGCAGATAAAGTCCATGGATTAGACATGTGAAACAAAAATCCACAAAGGTAGAAGGAAATCAGCTCCTTGTGCAAGGAGGAGCATTTTGGAGAAAGGGAATTAGTCCATGGAGCAGCAAGCACTGGATATGCAGTACATCAGTGTTGTTACTGGTTCCCACCATTCAGGTCCTCCACATCTGCTGACCAGCCTGGGGGTGTGATTTCATCTGTGTCTCAGCAACTCTGCAGGAAAAGGGCATGATGCTACAGGGCCCCCTAAGCACTGTTGCAGGATCACTTGTACAGCAACATTTGGGCACCAAATGGAAGATGCGGCTGGTGCATAAGCCATGCACATTGCTCTGACAGCCCAGGCGTGCAGGAAAGTACCTGGCTGCGCAAAGTGCAAGAGCAGGTACAAGCCCAGCCTCACGCTGACCCTGTTCTGCCAGCTTTATTCCCTCCTGCACAAGGTATGAGAGGTGCTCAGTGAACAGAAGGAACTCACCCAGACAAAGCAGGTTTTATCCTAGATTGACACATCACTGACCAAGCACAGCTACCCCTGTCAGGCCAGGGCAAAACGTGGACCAGGACTTAACTGCTGCACCACCCCGCATTTGCTGCTAAGCCCTGTGGCTTCCTCCTGCTCCGCAGCGCAGGTGCAGCTGCCGTCCTGACAACTGCCCGCAGCTCCTCCCAGGCTGCAAAACCTCACTACCTCATGCTCCAGAGTAGGACCAGAGCAGGCAGGGTCCTGAGGAGGGTTGTTCCACTGGCATCTGACCATCTCGCAGAGGAGAGTGCGGCTGCCTTTGCAGCAGCACTGGGCTCAGCTAGGAGCAGGGTGGGCAGATCTGGCACCATCACAGCCCAGATGAGCTGCAGGACAAACAGCTGGGGCAGGAAACACCCCAAGACTGCAAAAAGTCTGAAATTCAGAGCAGCTGGGACCACACAGAGCAGGCAGCCTTACCAACAGGCTGTCATTTAGCCCAGCCCCTGCTCTATTCCCCTCTCCCACTCCCCAGTTGCAGAAGGCTTGGAAATCTGCAGGGGCCATTCCCCATTGCTGGGAAATCTGGCTACTGAAACTGCAACCGCATCAGCTGGAAATGCAGTCCCTCCCCAGGGCTCTCCAGCAGCTAATACCATCACCATCAGGGATTTTGTCATCCCCACCACCTGCAGGACAGCACCCAGTACCAGCAGCCACCACATCACAGGCCTGGGTCCCTGCTAGAGGAGAGAAGCTCTGGGAGGAGGCAGGCTAAGCACCATGTTCATTACTGTGAGATACAGAGGTACAGGGGGAAAGCACCAGCTTTGCCTCAGCTCTGGGGGCCAGCTGGTCACCTGGACCATCTTCATCACCACCAGGTGGTGGCCCCATGAGGGGCAGGGAGGGACATGGTACCTTGATGCACAGCAATGCCCAGTCTTTAGGGAACAGAGCAAGAGAGCTCTGCCAGGGCACATCAGCATCCTTTGCCTCATAAAAAAGGGTGATCTTTAACCCCTACACAATAAATCATGGAGGAAAACCATCTCAGCAGAGCTAAGTTAATTGCAGGGAGGGAGGCCAGAGGCAAGGATGTGTTCCCAGCCTTGCAGCTCTGGGGAATCACTGGAAGGAGCTCTGCTAATCTAGACACAACCAGAAGAGTCATGGGGCAGAAGTGACAGCAGAGCTCCTCTGCTCCTGGCTGTGTGGGAAGGGTTCCCTGGCTCAAATCCTGGCCCTCAGCTTCAGAGAGCAGGTTTCTGCAGCTGGTGGGAGGGAACGAGCAGACCCTGTCTTGGCCTTGCCCAGTTGGCCAAGAGCCTTTGCCTGACCCCAGACACTTGCAGCTGAAGCCACCAGACACACATGGTCCTAAGCCTTTGCTCCCTCTGCTATTTGAATTGGATCCCCAGCTCTGACTACTGACGTGTGTCAGCCCTGGGGATTTCTCAATCATGACAAACTTGGTGAGAGTTCATGTCCAAAATGTCCCCTGGTGACTCAGATGTGATCTCCAGCTCTTTCCCCTTGTGACTAGGACAAGTTTGTGGAAGGGGACTGGCAAGGGCCAGGGCTCATTGCTTTTTCCTACTCATGTTTGATGAAGCAAAGTTGAAGGACAGAGACACTTCATGAATCAGAACCATTTTCCCCAAATCAAAACATTCATCCACACTCCTAACCTGGAGCATTCCCAGCACAAAACACCAGCAGACACGGCTGTAATACAGCAGCTCAAAGCCCTGGTGATGGCAACGCAGGGATCCTACCTTTGCTGGCCATGACAGCGGGCACTTAGCCACCCACTGTGCCTCCTCCTGCCATGTCCATGGGGCCCCTGGATTCAGGGTGACCACACTCATATCTCAGGGCTCATTCCCTGTCTGCAGCCAACTGCCAGGAGACAGTGAACCTGCAGTGCCACATCCTGATCCTCACGGCTCACCTGAAGGGGAAGTGTCAGTGCACACCTGAAGTACAAGTGCTCCTGAGCAGCGGTCACCAGAGGGACCAGCACTCACCCAATAGAGAAGCAGCAGAGAGTAACAAACAGGTTGCATGGGAATCCCATCACAGGGAAAGGGGCAGCAAACCTCCTCCCCTCTAGACCTCAACAGATTCCCTTCAAAGCATAACTTGCAAAGGAAAATACCTCTAAACCCCACAGGCTCATGTTGGCCACACAGGGGCACATTGGACTTTCTTCACCACATCTCTCTCCCTCCAGACTGCATCAATCTTCCGGATGAAATGGGGGCCCTAATGAACCTGAGCAAAGTGGAAAACCCTGCATCTGAATTCACCAGTAAATACCTATGGGAAAGGGAGCACTACATCCTCATCAGAGTCATCTGTAAGTTCCTTGGCAAGACAGCACAGTTCAGCCTCTGAGCCAAGAAGGGTCTGTTTTGGCAGGGGGGCTTCCACACACCAGGAAAACCCTGTCACCTCCTAGAAACAAAGATGCAGCTTTGGAAAGGGGGGGGGGGGAGGGTGTCTATTCAGCAGTCACTTGGACATACACAGTAACTCTGAGGAGGCAGAAGCCAGCTCAGATGAAGAGCTAGAGCTGAACCTTATGTTTGTCTGAGGTGGCTGCTCTGGGGGAGGAGGAACCTTCCCTGGGCAGAGCTGCCTGCCCCAGTTACAAGTCTTTATTTCAGTTTTCAGCCAGGAGAGAGATTAATCCATTTCTTCCATTCTGCTGACAGGAGGAGAAAGCTCTGAGGCCACCTGCTATGAATCCTTGCTAGAGAACCTGGGGAAGCACTACGCTGACCTAGCAGGTAAGAGCCAGGCACCCACCTCACCTCCACAGAGGAGCCGAGGGTGCAGGCATGACTCCTCTTCCCCCCGCAGCCCTTGTACACCATCCATGGGGCTGTCCTCTGCATTCCACTATGCCCCCTCACAACACCAGTAATGGCTGTGGGTAGCAGGTGAATTCAGGCTCAAGGACATCCCTAGATGAGGAACAGACCCATTACTGGTCACAAATGCAGTGCAGCCACCCACCAGGGCTCAACCACCATGCCATACTGCCCAGGCACTCACCCCCAGCTCAACAAGAATCCTCTGCTACTTAGCTCCTTTTCCTGGGATCCCCCTGCTCCTTTCAGGGGTCCACACTACCACCTCCAAAGCAGCACCCTCCTGCTTCAAGGGATCACTCAAGTTCCCATGGCATGGCCTGCACTCCCAAGTGACAAGAAACTGCACCTCCTTTCAACCCACCTGCACCGGCAGCCAGGGGAACATGCACCTGCATCACTGGATGAGTCTGCCTTCAACACCATCACCACTCTGGCAGTGGCCTTCTAGAGACTGTCCACTGCAAGTCACCAGGAAAAACTGTTCAAGAAACATCTCAAGTCTTCACAACTCCAGAAGCAGCATTTCTAGCACTTAGCCAAGACAGGTCAGAAGACAGCACACACCTGCTGCAGGTGCTCCTGATGGCTCTCCTTAACAGCTTCTCCACTCATAACAGCACACACCAGTATCAGTCTAATATTTATTTCTTGAAGGCAGTTAGTTCAGACAGCTTCATTACAGTGGTTCCTCTCTGCTCACACTGGGGCAGCTCACCACACCAAGCACTTGGGTTTAGAGTCTCTGGCATCTACTTTTTTCCTTGGCTGTCTCTCAGGAGAGCACAAGGCACTCCAGATAAGGCCAGGCACAGCTCGGGACATTATCTACCACCAAGAATTTAAGGTTTGACATTTAGAAGGGGCAGGACTTTCAACACCAGCCTACAGTATCTGCTGCCAGCTTTTACCATCTAGAAATGGATTTCTTCACCAATCCAGGCAAGGGGCTGAGAACTTGCCCAATATTCACAGCCAGAGGTCAGCAGTTGACAGATTAATTCTGCCATGAAAATTCAGCAGTTAAACATCTGAAAGTGTCATGGTTTCACTGCTGTGCCACTAGAACTCCAGCTGAAGCCTCAAAGTTATCTTTCACACCAACATGGGAAACAGGGTCTCCTGCTGGAGGCCATTCTGCAGGCAGCACTCATGAAACTGTTCTGCTACAGTAAGAGGAGAGCAGCTCTGAACTTAACCTGAGGCTGGTGACCTTGAGAACATTGCATAACCTGCTAAGGCTTTTAAGTAAGATCAGCCGACTGTATCCCAGTCACACTGCCAGACAGGTCATATTTTCTTAGCTCTGGGGTCAGAACAGCTCTTCAGGAAGAGGGTATCAATGGAAAAATAATTTGTTACTGAAAATAATGTAGGACATCTCAGATTACCTCTCTCCAGCCCCTCCTCTGCCTGGAGGGCAGCCAATCCAGTCTCCAGTCAGTTGTGGATCTGCTTTTGCCAAGTCATGCAAGCACAGCTCTTGCTAGGCTGCACCTCCTGTTTGCAGGAAATACACAATTGTGCCTTGTCCTTTAAGTGGCTGATACTGTTAACATTTTGGTAGCTTAATTTTAGCTTGAGAATTAAATAAAGAACAAGCACAAGTGATAGGTCCAAATAAACTCCTTTATTTCTCTGTAATAAATACAGTGCTATCTGAATTCTGAATTCCCACAGGTCCAACCACTCCTTTCCTTCTCTACTAGTGAAGAAGTAAATTACCACTAGAAGACTCCTGTCTGGTCAGTCTGTTCCCTCCAGCTCATCCTCTGTCCATCCTTCTACTCCCTGCAGGCAGCAGGGCTCTACACCAGGCTCCTCTTCCCTATACAAAGGGGGGCAGATTCTTCACAGGAGAGAAGAAACACCTACAGGGAGAAAGTACAAGTTCAGCATTAGGTGCACATTCCAGCAGCTGGAGTTAATAAAAGCTCTCTTACCTAAAGTGACCAGATCAAGACATAGCTACTGACATCTGCTTTTAACAGGTGCAGCGGGAATTAGGGCATCAAGTAGGGAAAGCAGCAGGTTTCCCACAGCAGCAAGAGAGGAACCTGCAGGAGGGCACCTACAGCCTCCTCACCTTCAGAGAGACATGGTCAGGATCATTTCTCCTGCCCTTTCCAGTTCCCTTCCGCATTCCAGGACACAGGAAAGACAGAACTGCTTCCTGTTTAAAGCCTTGAGGGGCAGGCACTACAACCACAACAGATTGCTTCTGCGACCTTTGAACCCCCTCGGGTATTCTCCGGGCAGCAGTTCCGTCACTACCCAGCCCTCCTGCAGGGACAGGGCACAGACTCACCGTTGCTAGTCTTGCACTGCTTCAGCGCCTCGTTGAAGCCCTCGCACAAGGTCAGGTCTCTCTGGTTGGTAGCACATTCCAGGAACTGCTTCATCTCATAGTGGCAGGGTCCGTAGGGCGACTGCTGGTACACGGGCTGCTGCCTGGGCTCCTGCAGGCAAGGACCCGGTTCGGGAAAGAGCTCTGTGGGCAGCGGCACCTCCTTCGGTAAACACGGCGGCTCCTTATGGCCTCTCACCGGGAACGGCCCCGTCACCTTGGCCTGCTCCCGCGTCCGACCTTCGCCGCACGGGCCAAGCGGCCCTGGCAAGGCCCGGCGGCCCCCGCTCCCCAGGACCGGC